CAGCAGGATGCTGCAAGACCATCATTACTCTGTCTGTGGGACAGGCAGAACATTGAAAGCAAGCAATGATCTGTGGTAAGATTCAGATAGGATTGGATAAAGCAATTCTTTCCCTTTTGGATTTAAATGGAGTGGGGCATTCTTTAAATGTAATTAGATATCTGTAAGTGGTAGTCTCTTTAGAGACAGAGGGATTTTTCACATGCAGCTGCTGGAAAATGTTGAAGTACGTGCTAGAAGAGAAAAAGGAGGCGCTTTGCAAAGCGAGGTGAAGAAACAGTAGAAAGAGCTGAAAGGAAGTTTAATAGGATCGGGGTCGTCTTTGAAAAGTGAAGAGGGACAGGGAGTGAAAGACGCTCCTGCCTCGACATTGGTCAGATTTAGATCCGCATCGCGATTGGTTGTACAGAGCAAGGGCTTTTGTTTAGCCAATCACAATTCACTTTCCCAGTCCGGGAAAAAGGATAAAAGGGCAGGGCTGGGGGCGGTGTCCTGCGTTCTCAGCGCTTGTTTGGGCGGTGCCAGTTTCTAGCGGAGTCGCGATGTCGGGCCGCGGCAAGCAGGGCGGGAAGGCGCGGGCCAAGGCCAAGTCTCGCTCCTCGCGGGCTGGGCTGCAGTTCCCGGTGGGCCGCGTGCACCGCCTCCTGCGCAAGGGCCACTACGCGGAGCGGGTCGGAGCCGGGGCCCCGGTCTACCTGGCGGCCGTGCTGGAGTACCTGACGGCCGAGATCCTGGAGCTGGCGGGCAACGCGGCGCGGGACAACAAGAAGACGCGCATCATCCCCCGCCACCTGCAGCTGGCCATCCGCAACGACGAGGAGCTCAACAAGCTGCTGGGCAAAGTGACGATCGCGCAGGGCGGCGTCCTGCCCAACATCCAGGCCGTGCTGCTGCCCAAGAAGACCGAGAGGGCCAAGACCAAGTAAATCCAGCCGTGAAGAGGCAGGATCCGTCCTTTCAGCCGCTAAACAGAACCCAACGGCTCTTTTCAGAGCCACCCACCATGTCACAGGGAAGAGCTGAATGTCACGCTTAGGAACAGGAAGGGAAGGGCTTCTTTTCTGATCCGCAGGGTACTTTTCCTGATAGTAACATTAGGACACTTGCCAGTTTTACCCTTTATCAGGATGTTCAGTAATGAGCTTTTTTAGGGGAAGGACGGAAATAATTAGAGGTATTAATGCTTCCCTTCTGTCTACAAAAATTGAGCATGTCAAAAGAAGGCAGACATACAATGTTGGGTAGCCTGTAGAAAAATATGAAATGGGGTGAAAAAGCCTGAGTGATCTGTACCTATACATGATATATAGGCGCCTATCATCTGCAGGCAGTTTCTGAACCTGACAAAGGGCGTTTGTGCATGGAAGAAGAATTTTTCCAAGTATTTGACTTGACCTAATAAAAGATACCTGATTTACCCAAAGCACCTTGTCTGCCTGTGTCCTCAGACCAACACTGCTCCACCCTACACCCCTATATAGAATACAGTACATGTATTCTCTTGACCAGGAAACTGCGTATCTGTGACAAGCTACCAACTGTACCTCATCACTCAATCATTTTAGGCTACAGAACTAGTTTTAAAACCAAACAACCAAAATGGTATGTTTTTATTTTTTAAACAAAACCCCTGGTATTTTCCACCTCATTAAACACCTTCTAAAATAGCCAGTTTCAAATGCATTGATCAGGTGGTGCTGTCCTTATTGCTTGTGTTCTGAGCGTATCCAGATTCCAGATCTGTGGGGTGGCTGAAGAAACCACTGCTTGGTCAATGGGATATTATTACCATGAGACATCTCCAGTAATGATTATTAGATGGTGCATGTGACGCAGGTTAATGTGTTCAGTAGTGGTACAGAAGGAAAAAAGACTCAAAAGGCTTTTAAATTATGCTTTCATCAATATAAATGTGTGTTTACTACCATAAGGAAACACTTACAATATTAGGAAGGAAAAAAAAAGTCATTCATTCAGATAATTGGAGTCATCTTTTATTATGGGGTGTAGCTTAACTATTACTGACTCTGATTTCATCATCTAAAGAAATGTATATTCCTTCCTCATGAGATGTCACGAAATATTCTGATATAGTGTTGGTCCCTTTTGGATTATAAAGCTTCGTTATAAAGCCTTCCCATCTCGTCCTGATGCAGAAATGTGCTTAAAAGATGAGTAAGAACAATAGCTTTGTGTGATTAAGCTATTTCTATTTAACATATCCTTTACTCTTAAGAGTATTTTAATCCTAAAACCTACCCAGAAATATCAGTGACAAAGTTTTTAGCAGGCAAGCATGGGAAGTCCTTAGAAACAGCCATGCCCGTTTTAGACAATGACTCATAATTTCCCACACTGGGTATAGATGCGATCAAAAACATAGTGTGATATCAGTAAATATTAATGTTTTCTTCTTAGTTAACAGGAAAACCTCGCTAATATTTCTTCCACATAACGTCTTCATAACTTTATCTTTTAACAAGAACAATCACCCTTTCTGCAACACAGCACTATGTAACCAACCCTCTCTGCATTGTACACAAAGTAACAAACAGTACGTGATAATAACATTTCTTCCCGGGACACAAAATGGTCCTCGCAGGACTTTAAATTGCACAGTATGCTGTTACAACAGGCACGAATTTCGCTTAATTACATTGTTTTAAGAGGTAAAGGATTTTGGTCAAAGAGGCTAATTTCTAATCCATATTCAACGCTCAGGGACGAACTTGTGTTACTTCCTTCCCTTTGAAATAATTTTATGATGAAAATAAGGCTTCAAACACCTGGTTTTCAGCCGTGATTTAAAGGAGACCCTTTCAAGAATAAGATTTGGTGGCTTTGGAGGTATTTCTTTGCACTATGAAGTTTTTATTTAGAAGGAAAAACAAAAGTTTCTATTTCCCGAGGTCTCTCCAGGTCCAGGACTCAGAGTTTATTCACTCTTTTTAAACTCGCCTTTTATTTCCCCGCCGGGAAACTTTACCGGATAAAAAAGCAGTCTTTCTTCTTCATCCTGATTTAAAATGGGGTGATTCCACCGGATCTATTCTTTAAAAAATACACTTTTTTGACTCCTAAGAAACACAAACTGATCGGAGAAAAGAGTCCTTTCTGCCTTGCAGCTGGGCGGGCTCTTTAACGCACCAATCACTGAGCAGCTCGTCTCTATAAATACCAGGCATCTGACTTGCGCTAGCCCAATTGTTTTCTTCTGATTCGTGGAGGACGTCCGCCACTATGTCGGAGACCGCGCCTGTTGCCGCTCCTGCTGTCTCTGCTCCTGGGGCGAAAGCCTCCGCCAAGAAGCCGAAGAAGTCGGCGGGCGGCTTCAAAACCCGCAAGCCCGCGGCGCCCAGCGGGGCCGCGCTGAGCCACC